ATCTGGCGCAGGGCAAATATATGGTCAGAGGTGCTTCGACCGGGCCGGAAGCCACACTGCTTTCCTTGGATCTTGAGGTAAACTATTTCACGGCACCTCCTTTCTAACACCTTTGCGTAGACTTTACCTGGGAGGCTCAATGACGTAATGCCCCTATAATTGGAGCATTCCTTGTGGTTTCCCTTCTTGAATACGGGTACAATAACTTCTGTTTTGCAGTCCGCGGATGTCTTTTCCGCAGTCAGCAGTTTGACAGACATGTGTAAGCCAGCACATGCCTTGTTCAACTAATGCCTTGAGCATTTCAGGGCGGATTTCGTCAATTCCGGCAGCTTTTCCATTTTTCATGCTTTTCATAGTTTGTGCAATTTCATCTACAGAAATAGTAATATTCGTACCCTTCTGCTCTACAGGCGAGTCTTCCTGCTGCTGCGCGGGGTTAAGGAGTTCCTCAAAGTACTCCCGCCATCGCCGAAGAATGTCATCTTCCTTGGTAAGAGGGTGTCCAGATCTGTCCTTCAAGACTCTTAGACTGTCCTTCTTTTCACCTCGGAGCCGGCTGATGGTCTGCCAGAATTCTTCGTTTGCCACGTGGAAATTTAACTCCAACAGCCCACCGAATTTCTCTCAGGAATCAGCTTTGGCTTTCGCCACTGCATTCACTGCCGCTTAAGTGCCTCGATATATCGTTCGCGAGTAGAAGGGTGCTTGTTTCAAAGCCATTTCTATGAAGGAGCCTTCTGTTTAACTGCAAGTTGTGCCTCTCGTATTCACCAGTAAGATTTTTCTTGCCTCCAGGCGGCAGGCCAAACCGTTTGAGTCTGCAGCATTCGGTGGCAGCCCCGAGTACGTCGGTCTTAAAAGGCTCTTACTGGTTTTGCATATGATCGGTCATTACCGAAAACTGTTTAAATTGTCATGCGATGTCATTTGCAAGTTTCGCGTTCGTTTCCGCCGAAGATATTGTTTCCCATTTAGTTCTCTCATTGCTTCTGCCGCCAGGTCTTCGCCACAAGTTCATGCCGTTATTGTTGAATTTACTAGGGCCGTTCTTTTCAATCACGCCTTTCTTCTTTTCGGTGCCTGTTCTGACATGCAGATTGATATCGTCCGTTAGAATGAAGCACTCTGTGATCGGCGCTTAGTCCAGAGCACTTTATGCCTCCTACAGGAAATACTCATTCTTCGTGTAAACTGCGCGAATAGACGTCTGTCAAGGTCAGAGCTTTAGTCTGTTATAGCTTCAGTCGGAGTATTGCCACTATTCTTTTCAGTGATTATGTACACTAAGTTTTCTTCTACCAGAGCACTAGCTCCGGTCTGAGCGCCCGTCGTGATTTTGACACCTGAGTAGAATATCTTTCATCGAAAGAAACTCAAAATTCTATAGCCTTGGCGCTTCGTTGACGAAAGTCCAACTATGTCCGGTTGGTTTCTTGAAGCCTTGTTATCTAGCTCATGCTCTTTCCCTCTCCGTGAGGAAATATTTCACTTTCCCACTGACATCGGAGCCTTTATGACGTGCCATAATGGCCTCTTTCTCCTCCGTTCAGAACAGGCAGCCCCGTGCTGACTGGCCTGTTCTTCCTGTTCTTATCAATATTTGGTAGTCGTATACGACAGGAACAAAATCGCCCTTCCTCCGAATATGTTCCGTGGTATTACTGTAAGTATAAATTTTGTTGAGCATGAACAGAACATCGCACCATCCTCCTTTCCCATCCTGCATAAAAAATATCCGTGACGGATGTTCTCTCTTACCTACTTTAAAACCTATAAATGTTTGTCGTTGCATGAAGGGTAACGTATATCTGCGTGAAAGTTAAATAAGGTTAAATTTAATAAGCCTACCTGCGTGGAAGCATGCCGGCAGCCATGGAATATTCGGTACCCAGAACATCTCCTTTGAGCAGCTGTCCTGCTTGCAATCGTTTTGCGGTCCGAAAATGCTCTACATTTTAGTTCTGGTCATTTATAAACCTGGTTCACTGTTAATTTGACTAGCCTCTAAGCTAGTAGTAACGTCATGTTTTGCCTGTGATGTCCTGGCATGATCCCTGTTCGTTGTTTTTTCCACAAATTAGATATGACTGCAGATATTTCCCTATCATTCTGACATGTGATTTAAGTTTCTTTATTCTAATCAGATTTTTCATAGAGGCACACACGAATCTACCATCTTTTGGTTATAAAGGTCGCAATCACCTTAGCTGTGGAAAGTGTCGTCGTCTACATCCCAAATTTTTTGACCTTTTCATCTTGCATGAATACGTTATTCCTACGGATAAAATCTAGGCCCTTATATATTCTGTTGCGAAAGAATATCGGCCTCCTTAACTCTTGTTCATAGTTTTGCTTTCCTGTTGTTTTTGTGACAGACCTTCATTTGTACTGCAGCTGAAGATAATTCACTTTATTGCTGCGTTTCATTTTATTACGTGGTTCTGCTCTTCGACAGTAACCACTTTCCTCGTCATCTGCTGCAGGTTAGTTACTCGTTGAGGGCAGTGGGACAACTGCACAGTGCCGTCGCTGTCCGTTTCAGTATTGTACGACTGTGGTCAGAGCCACATAGAGGCATTATCCGTGTTGTGATCACTATGATAGTCTTGCTTTTAGGCCGCAATCAGATCCAAATTGGTAGAACTCGGCTCTTTCGCTGGTAAGTGACGAACGTGATTCGGCTTCAAGCATAATACTGTTAGCTT